TCGTTCCTTGAAGAAAGTCTTGCGGAGGGAAGTTGTAGTTTCAAATATGTCGTTGCGTCCGCCACGAAGGCCGCGATTCTGTGGGAGCTCAATGAACGAGCGAGAGATCCGAATGCCTTGGATGCGGAGGTCGTGGGGGAGTTGGTTGTGTTTTCTCTCAGAAAGCGCAGGGCAGCTGTCCTCGGTGCGGACCTCCGCCCCGCGCTCGTGGCCCTCATGCAGTGCGTCACTAGTCTCTCTTGACAGACGCTTTATATATAGCTCGTTCCTCGCTCGATAAAGTGCGTCACCTGATTCTAGGTCTAACCAAGGGGATTCGGATATGCGAAATCCGCACTACACCCTGAATTTTCTTTTTCAGAGGGTTGGGCTGAGCCCCCCCCCCCTCCTATGTCGTAATCTTGCTGAGTGGAAGGCAAGGTAACGCGAGCTGAGCAGGGCCCAGATCATCCATGTCCGTAGATTAGATTATATCAGTCTTACCTACACTGCCACCTGTCACTGACTTGCCTCCGCTCGTCGACACCCTCGCGCTCGAAGACTCTTCCTGAGCCTTTCTCGTCTTCTCTACGCGTTTTTTCTGTCCCGCCCACCCATCCCTCTTTTTTGTTTTTCCTCGCTTACGCTCGGGTTGCTTTGGGTCTCGATCTCCCAGACCCTCGGTGGCCTCTGCGTACGGGTTCGGCTGTTCCCGCATTTCCTCTCCGACCCAGGCTTCCCCGCTGCCTGACCGCTGCGCCGCGAAGCCCCGTCGGCCGAGACGGCCGTTCCCCCCGCACACCCACACACACACTATCCGCTCGTCCCCCACCTCCTCGATTCCGTGCGAAGCACGGCTCTGGTGCAAAGCACCAGTTCTTCTTCTCTTCCCTCACTAGGCCTATCCACAGCGAGCATATACCTTGCCTCTTTAGGATGCATCAAAATTCACACGATATTCGGCATGCCTGCAGCTGTCCCAACCGAGTCCCAACCTTCGCGCAATCTGCGACCTGCCTCGAGACAATACATCCATTAGAATGACGGAGTAATAGTTGACTTGAAAGTCCAAAATCACTAGCCCGAACTTAGACAATATAGGTTCAAGAACTTGGCTACTGACTCCTTGAATTTGTTAGTGCACGGCGGGAGCAAAAAGATCATGAAATGTGTGGTGTTGAATGTTTCACTATTAACAGCTCCTAAGCGATGCCGTACCCGGCGACCATTTGGATGGTACACTGGATGGTTCACCTCATGATTGCTAAGTGATTGAGGTGAACTGAAGCTGTAAAGCTGTCTCTAAGCCCCAAAATACTTGAAAGAAGTAGTTGAACATGAGATCCAAAAGTTGGTATGAAGCTTTTTTTTTCGTGGCGAAGGGACCCCCCCTCCCCCCCCATATAATAAAACTCCTTATCTAGGAAGCCCCTTGGGTCTAACACAGTGACAGATATCTAGATCTGTGGTGATTGGCGAGATACGAAAGCGTGACCGTGACCGTGACTCCACGCCTTTCCAATTGCCACTCACTTCGAATCCAAGGGTCGATGTCACCCCAGCCCTCTCATCGAAAAACTTCTGACGCATACCCGTAGGACTCTCTTCGCTCGATTCCGCCTATCTTGCTGATTTTCCTCTGAATCTTGGCAGTTTAGACCAAACCAAGGGGGGATCGGGTTTCGAATTTCGGCTATCGGGTCGAAAAGTTTTTTTCGACCTCGGTCGCCACCCCCCCCTCCCCCCTATATAGGGAAGGAGGTTCCCACCCCTAGCGGCGGGCCGTGCTTCCGAGTCATGTGCGCACTCACCGCCACCTCACCGCCGCCTGATGGGCAGTTCCCCGACCTTTCCTCACTCAACCCGGGACACTCCAATTCATCTACAATATATGTTCCTTGTAGGCACAGTAATGGTATGACTCTTCTGTAAGTTATTAACTCCTTCTGTATGCCCAAAATCCCATACTAAAGAAGTTCGGGCCTCGGGTAAGCCTTGGGGGAGCTACCAGAGGCTCATTTTATGCTCCCTACACCTCTCAATGCCTCAGATTGCATCTGAGGCCTCCCATAAGTCCTGTATAAATGTATAGTGAAAAGTTTTTTTCAGCTCTCCGGGAGACCCCCCCCCTCCCCCTCCCCATAGCCGAAATTTTAATCCCGATCCCCCCTTGGACCAAACTTACAAAGACGTTCTTCACACAAACTTCGTTCCTTCCGACCAGGAATGCCGGCGCATCCGGGATTTCGTGGTCGCTCCAACGGACAAGCTTCAGGAAACCACGGAAGAAATAGCACGTTTGGAGGCACTCCTCGAACAGCTCACTCGCCAGCGGGACGAGTTGGCCGAGTACATTGATTCGCATCTCGCGCTGGTGGCTCCGGCGCGTAGACTCCCCGAAGACATCTTGCGAGAGATATTTATCGCCACTCTTCCGTTGGACAGGCACCCCGGAATGAGCCCGCGAGCATCACCATTGCTGATATCGCGCATTTGTAACGACTGGCGGACCTTAGCGCTCTCGATGCCCCGCCTCTGGGCGTCTCTGCATATTGACGCATCGGAATTATCACCTCGTTCACCACGCTTAAAAGAATGCAACGAAGGCCTCGAGTCCCAGTGTTCGCCCGAAGGGCTAAGCCTTAAAAGTTTAAGGCCTTAATTAAGACCTTAAATAAGGCCTTAAGGATTTTCAGCTAAGTTTTAAGGCCTTAACAAGGCCTTACGCTATCACGTGTACTGGTATTATTATTATTATTATTCCTCTGCCATTGCGCGTCGTCGGACATGTCTTTAAAGGATTATTTCTGGCCCGAGGATCCGAAAAATGCCGTGAAACGGACATACTGCAAGGCTTGCGTGTCCCGCCAGCTGGACAGCGTTGGAGCAACTACGACCGGCGTGGTGGAAGGCTCCCAGGCATTTAAAGATTCCGGAGGAGGTTTTACTGTAGGCACTGACGGAGACTGCAGAGGGCGGTCCCAGACGATGTATGGCGCCGTCGAGATTGACTCTGACGAGTTCCAACTGTAGTTCATTGGGATTTCGGCGGTGCCTGGGGCGTGGGAAAATATATTTAAGCCCTTAAAACTACCCTTATATTTAAGCCCTTGCCCTTAATAAGGCCTTAAGGATTCTCGAACCTCGATTTAAGGCCTTATGGGCGGACACTGTCGAGTCCTGGCTACTTCGGTCCGGTCACATTCCCCTATCGATTTCCCTTGCAGGGGGCATCGGCATCCAGGATGGCGGCCGTGATCTCGTGTTCGAGCTGCTCTTCCACACCCTGATGAAGCATTCTTGCCGCTGGGAGCACATGCGATTCCGACTCCCTGCCTTTCCGTGGCTCAAGCCTCTCAAAGCACTCTCCCCAAACCATGTCCCACTGCTGAAGACAATTGCTATTACTGCGTGGCACGGGTTTGACAAAGACCCGACTGTCTTCTCCTTCCTTGGAGCTACAGCGCTCCGGGGTGTGTCCCTCGAATGCCTTCCAGGGCCCGGCCTCCAACCTTGTATCCCATGGACGCAGCTCCGCCATCTATCGCTCCAATCCCTAGGGCTGGAGAGGGCACTTCGACTGATTCAGCAATGCCCTAACCTCGAGACATGGAGGTCCTCGATAACTGACACCCCCAAGGATACTTTGCCAGCACCGAAGTCAATCCATGTGGCGCGCCTGCAAACGTTATGCATCATCGATCGTACCCAGGGTCGCAGCACACGTTTCTTCGAATACGCCGTGTTCTCGAATCTGCATTCCTTCGAGTACGCCAGCCATTATCCAGGCGTGGAGCCAACACCAATCCTATCCTCCCTTTGCGCCCCTGAAAAGCTGACGAGCCTTAGCCTCAGCACCTATATGTCAACGGACTCCCTCGCCGAGACCCTACGCCGTTTTCCGATGCTGCAACACTTGGTGCTGCACCGGCCGCGGAATTCGCTACGCTATGGCGTGGTCGCTTGCCGGCTGTTCACGCTGCTGAGCACGCGCGACACGTTGTGCCCTCATCTCAAGAGCATCTGCTCTCTCGCTCTTGATGTAGGGACGGACGAAGAGCTTTCTACCATGATCGACGTACGACAAACCAGGCACGATGTCCAGCGGCTTCTGCGCATACACGTCGTCTTTCCCCGTGCGCGGCAGGTCGACGTCTCCCCGCAGCCTGCTGCTGCGAACCTCACCGCCACCCTGCGCTATCCGACAAAGAGAGAGTGGACAGAGGCAACGAAACCATTCGACATTTCCGCGAAGCCGAGGGATAGGGACACCGGGGAGGATTTCGACAAGAGGTGCGCGCGGTCAGCCCCCGCCGTCGATTGGGGCCCGCGCTCGGATCGGTGGATGGCGGAGTATGAGGAGTGGGGTTATTCCCGGACGAGGAAGATGAGCAAAAAGATGGCAGAATGAGGGTTCGATCGAAGATTAGTCGGTCGACCGCATAGTTGACAGTGGAAAGGGGCTGCGTTTATGGACGAGGGCTCTCGCTTGCAAAGAAACATGTATAGTTGTCGAACAATCCCAATTTACCTGATCAGACCTGTCCGTACTATCTGCCCGCCAAATAAATGTCTGCAGAAACGCCACAGGCCTAGGAAGCTCCAAGAACATGACAGCTGCGACGCGCCGCACCACTTACTGTAGATTCGGAAGAGAACATAGTCTAACAGCTCAGAGAAATAAAAGAGCAGGTAAATTAAGGACGCGGTTGGAAGAAGGAGCATGCACACCACATAAAAATGGCGTTGTTCCGGCTTGCCAGCTGAATCGGCCCATCCCCATTTGACGAGCGCAGCGCGGATGGTAACTCGGTACGAATATCCTTCAAGCTCGAGCCAATTCAAACTTAGCTTGCGGTTGGGGTGAAGGGCGGAGAATATTCCCGGATCCAAGGGCATAGATTCGTGAGGTGAGAAGTAGGATGTCCAAAGATGGCGAAGCACGCAGATGTCAAAGTCGGCAAAAAAATCGGCAAAAGGGTCAAACATACACCGGAAAAAGAAGTCTGTGCGAAAACACATAGCAGCAACTCGTTTCGATCGAGTGACCTCGGGGTTACAGCAAACACTTGAGCGAATCACGTATATGGGCCCCGCGCGCTTCCAGACTGCGCCATGCTGCTGTCGTGTGCTGCGAGAATCAACGCATGGTAATCATGGGGTAGGTGGGTTCTGAGTAGGGTGAGATACTGCAGCAAGCAACTGAGCAAGGCGAAGTGTTGTTCGAGAATTTTGGTTGATGGGCAGATTGGGCAAGCAGATTCTTCAATTTGTACAATGATTGGGCGGCGCGATCGAGCGGCATCGGAATCAGATACAGACCCAATTGAGGTTCGCCGTAAGCAGCCGAACCACAGACGTCGCGCCATGCCGGACAGCCGGGGGCATACCTGGGGATACATAGTCTTAATAGAACGCGCCGATCAATGAGGTTCGGCAGAGCGTGCAGGGGGGGGAGCCTGCGAAGTACGGAAAGCGCGGGGATCAGCACGCCTGCGCTGAAGGTAACTTATAGCGTCTGTGCGTGTTGCTGTGTCTAGATCTATCGATCGCCATCTAGCGGCTATAGTCTGAGCGGCGAGAACTGGAAAAGGCTGGAAATTGGGGGATCCCGGACCCGTACTAGGTTCGATCGCTGTGCGGCAGGATGTAACTTAGCTGGGGTCTCAACTGAAGGCCGACGTGCATGGCCAGTGCGGTCGCCGGCATGCTGCCGTGGTGGGCGCCGGGAATCAAGAGCATGAGTCAGACCCTGAAAGTACTGCAGGCGGGAGTCCGTGTCCGAGAATTTTGTGTGATCGCCGGCCTGGACGAGTGGCAGCCGATCAGGTACATACTCCAATGAGGTCCGCCGTACACCACCAGAGAAGTTCGCCGTAAATAATTAAATACCCATAGACGCCGCGCGACAGAACACCGCGTAAGATGCCCGTGTGACGGCTGCACGGCGATCATCGCAGGATCTCGAGGTGGAGAAACCAGCAAAATACGGGCGCAAGCCCACGGCGAGGTACGGAAGGCCTGGAAATAAGAAAGGTGGATCCGGCGGATCCAGCGTTTGCGCGCTGCCGTGGCTATATATCGATCGTTGGTGTCTCTATAACTTATAGCGACCTTCGGTGTCCCGCCAGCGGTGAGTCGTCGTAATGCGAACGATGTGGTAGAAAGTAGGCTCGAACCAGTCGCTATTGGGAAAGCCGTGGAGTTGATGACAGTCGATCAACAGCGCGTTTATCGCGCATTGATCAAAAGACTGTCTTTGATATCTACGCATAGGTACTGGTTCGAGTCTAGGTAGAAAGAGGTGCTTCACCTTCCGATCGCCTCGAAGAATTACCAGACACAAAAAAGTACGTCGCATTTGCGCTTTAAGGCCTCCGAGCGACTGTGCGTATCATACATAAGGACCACGGTGTGGTTCCGGGACGCCGAGGAGGCACGTTGGAGCTGGCAGCGGAACGCGGTTGGGTCTCACCCCCGGGACGCCGCGAGCGGCTCGGGGACACAGAGACGCCACGGGACGGTGGGTCCGCAGCGCTTACTTATGCAGAAGACTGTAAAAGTTGCTGCAGGAAAGAAGGGAGTACCTCGGAGGAAGCTGGTGGACGAAGGCTAGGTGGGCAGAGCGGATAATATTGATACTTATGAGGCGACCGCGAAAGAGCCGAAGCCGTGGAGAGAGCTGGAGAAAACTCGCAGGGTTGTGCGTAGGACACGTATGCGTGTTAGGCTCGTAAGTGCGGTAGCATGGTCTGTCGTGTCGTTCGGGGTTCGTGTGGTGTACGGCGTAACTGAGCTCGCAAGGGACCCGAACCGCAATGACACAGAATCGGGCAGGAAGACACGAGAACAGGGAATAATATCGTCGGTGGGTGTTCAGCATCGTATGATATGCGCAAGGGTCGTCCGACTCGGAAGGGCTTTGGGGACGTGTTGTCCGAGCATTTTTGCTAGACGCCTGGACGAGCGGCAGCCGATCAGATACTCACCCCATTGAGGTTCACCGGAACCACCACAGAAGTTCGCCGTGAATATTTAGATACCCATAGACGCCGCGCGGCGGCCGACCGCAATGTCCGCAGAGATAGAACGCCGTGGGGAATCCGGAAAGAAAAGAAGGAAAGAGATGATGGATGCGCGGCGATCGTCTGCAAGATCTAGAGGTGGAAAAGGGAAAAGCGAGGAAAATACGGGCGCGCGCGGCGAGGCGCGGAACGTTCGGAAATAAGCAAGGCAAAGCCAGTGTGGATCCAGCGTCCGCGTCTTTGCGCGTGGCCCGTCGTGCGAACGATGTGGTCGAAAAGACAGAAACGCTTCACCTTCGCCTCAAACTCGAGGAATTGGCACATACGTACGTCGCGAAGCCTTAAAGACCGGGCTTGATGAATTTTTCTCCGCCTGGCTCTTGAGACCGGACGTGAGCGCTACAGCTTCGCCTCGGGCTCGAGAACTTGGCAGGCGCGTACGGCTCGAAGCGATAGATGCTCGAGCGGCGGCCTTGCTATGAGGTAGGTGTCGGCGGGCGGTCGACTGTACGCACGTCAACGACGGAGGCGTATGATTCCAACTTCCACGACGCCGAGGAGGCGTGCTGGCACGCAGCGGGCCGCGCTTGGGGCTCAACTGAGACGCCGCTGGCGGCGAAGTGTGGGAGAGACGCCGCGGGAGGGCACTGGGTTTGCGGCGCGCATGATAGAAGAGGGCATGAACAGGGCCAGGGAGGCAAGGCGTGCGGGGGAGGAGAGAGGAGAGAGGAGGACACGGATCGAAGGGAGCGCGGCCGCCTCTATAGTATACGTGATCTGAACGACTGTCTTCAGATTTCACGCAAGATATACTAGAGAGGCTGAAGCGAGCCTACGGCCGCCTACTAGTAGTAAAACTGTTCAAGCGGCGAGAATATGAGGATCGAGGACACGGAGGACCCCAGGGGTAGGATCAGTGATGGCATGTATCGCCGGTGTCGTTCGGGCTTCGTGCGGCGTGTGGCGGGCAGGACGTACCTGGGGCCTCAACTGAGATCGCAAGGGACCTCGATGCCACCAAAAAAGGGAGAGGCACAAAGAAGGGAGAGTTTCGTGAGGCATTCAGGATCGCGTGCGCAAGAGGTAGAAGGCAGATGACAGCTACACAAAAGCACACGACCAGGTCCAGGAGACAGTTGGGAGCAAGGGGCAGGGCAACAGCCGCAAACAGCACATCATATGGAGATCCTCGGTCATGTGACGCATTCGCTCTCTCCTCCTTTTTCCTCTCAGTGCCACTCCGAGCTTAGCACCACTTGTGCGCTAGGCCATCCACCTTTACTTGCATGTCGTCGTCGAGCAGCCCCGCAGCGGACGCAGACGCCGCGGACCCGGTTATCGTCGTCTTGACACCGGACACTGCCACCGTGGGCGAGGCGCTGGCGGCGAGGGCGGCGAAGCGCCAGGCGATAAAGAGCAGGAAGCGGGCGCAGGCGAAGGACCGCCAGGCGTTTGTGAGTCGCTGTCTTCTCTCTGCTTCTCAAGGGGACTGACGGAGGACGGGGACTGTAGGGGGTGACGCTGATGAAGATCAAAAACTACGAGGGCGCGGCGGGGTGCTTCGCGGACGCCTGCGGGCTGTGGCGCGCGAACCCCGTGGCCCACTGCGACCTCGCCACGGCGTACCTCCACCTCGGCCGGTGTGTCTCCGTCTTCGAGTGGCGGGGCGCCTATCTCATGTCAATATTTTGCAGGTTCGAGGACGCGGAGAAGGCGGCGTCGGCGGCGCTCGCGCTCGACCCGAAGCTCGTCGAGGCGCGGTACGCGCGCGCGATGGCGCGCAAGGGCCGCGGCCTCGTGCGCGGCGCCATTGCCGGTGCGTGCCCGCCCCCTCCTCGCTTCGCGTTCGGCTGATAAGTACGCCACACAGACTTCCAGACCGTCCTGCAGCTCGCGCCCGAGAACGCGGCGGCGCAGGCTGCGCTGCGCGACCTCGAGGCCGCCCCTCCACCGGCTCCCGACGCCGAGGAGGCGCCGGCGGCCGACGAGGGCGCTGCTCCCCCCACCGACGAAAGCGCTGCACCTCCGGCCGAGTCGGACGAGCCGGACTACGCCCTCCCCCTCCCCACCGCGCCACCGCACCCGCCCTCGGACGCCTCCGGCTCCGACACGAGCGACGCGCAGCACCGCGGGAGCGGCGTGCCGTGCCTGTTCTACAACCACGGCGGCTGCGCGCGCGGTAGCTCATGCCGCTTCAGCCATGCGCCAGACGAGAAGAGCGTTCGGGACGGGCTGTGCGTGCTTCCCTCTTTATCTCCTTTATCATCTACTCCCTCCCCCTTCGTTCCCTCTTCCTCTTTGTCCTTTCTCATTCGTTCCCTTCCTTTCCGTTCGGTTGGTTTAATTTTAATTTTTCTTTCGCAGGGGCAAGAACGTCTGCCTATACTTCCTCCTCGGGCAGTGCAAGTTCGGCGAAAAGTGCATCTACTCGCACGAGCGCGCCTTCCTGCCGACGTCTGTGCCCTCTGCGTCTTCGTTCCCTCCCTGCTTCCTCCTCCGCTCCTTCATCCTCTTCTCTGCCGACGCCTGCGTCCTCCGCTGCCGACGGCGCCGCACCCTCAAAGACGGAGACGGAGACGGAGACGGAGACAGAGAAGGAGAAGGAGGAGAAGACGGAAAAACCCTGGTGGGACGACGAGTCCCGCGTCGCCGAGATGCGCGCGCGCATCGAGGGCGTCAAGCTCAAGGCGCGCGAGAAGCGCGAGCGGCGGGAGCAGCGCGAGAAGGAGGCGGCCGCGAGCGGGGAGGGCAGGGGCAAGGGGCGGGGCAAGGGGAAGAAGAAGGGCAAGGGGCGCGGCGCGCGGCGCGCGGGCGACTCGTCTGCCTCTGCCTCTGCCTCTGCCTCTTACCCGAACCCGAACCCGAATGGGGGGTGGGGGATGCCCGTGCCGGGGATGGGGTTCGAGATACCGGGGTACGATTTGACGGGCGGGATGGGCGGGGGCATGGGGATGGGGGGCGGGTTCACGGAGTACGAGCTGAACGAGCTGGCGGCGCAGGGCGTGAAGCCGTGGGATGGGGATGCGCTGGTGCGTCTTTTGTTCTTTGTGTTTCCTACTCTTTTCTTTCTTTCTTTCTTTCTTTTTTTTGACTGACGA